TCACATCTCATTGAAACTTATAGAATACTGAGAGGCTGGGTAGAGTGGGTGTGGAGAAGATGTTTCCATGAGTAGGAGAGACTAGGAATCGAGGGCACAGCTTCAGAGTGAAGAGATGATCCTTTTGAACTGAGTTGAAGAGGAACTCCTTCAGTCAGAGGGTGGTGAATCTGTGATTCTGTTGCCACAGAAGGCTATGGAAACCAAGTAACAGTGTGTCTTTAAGACAGAGATAGATATGTTCTTGATTGACAAAGGGGTCAAAGGTTACAGGGAGAAGTCAAGAGAATGGGTTGAGAAATAGATCAGCGATGATCGAATGGCAGAGCAGAATCGATGGGCTGATTGGGCAATTCTGTTCCGATATCTTACAGTCTTATGGTCACAGCTGAAACACCAGGTAAGAGATAAGGGTTGCAACTTTTCTTCTCCCAGCTCCAGTTTAAATGGCTGTTTGCCTGTGAGCAAATCAAAATTATGAAATAACAACAGTTTAACAAGCCAGACCTTGTTAAGAACAGCTACACTCTTCTTACTGTTGGGAAGAGACTATTTAAAAGTGTATTACAGACCAAATCTGTCTGAAGGTCAGAAAACAAAAACAGACTTCAGAAATTTTGAAAGCTTTGAAGGCATGTTTTTAAGCCCTGATGAACATAACTGCTAAATGAGATGTGTTGAGTATTATGGCCCAAGATGAAAAGGAGTTCATTGATCAATATGTGACTTCATTAGCTCAGTTTGCAGAATCATGTGAATTTGTGTGACTAAAAGATAATCTCCTCAAGACAGGATTGTATTAAGGAGCGGAGATTCTAGGGCTAGTGTACATTAGGATTCAGCTTAGTCATATAAATGCAAAGTATTGCAGATGTTGGAAATCTGAAATAAAAACATAAAGTGCTGGAGAAATTCAGCAGCTCTCTCTGTGGAGAGAGAAACATGAGTTAACATTGCAAGTCCTATAAGAACCTTCTTCAGAACTGGGTTAGGCTCAGCATTAGATTTAGATTTAGGGTTGGGTTTAAGTAACACAAACAAATCAGTCAAGATTTACTGAATGGCAGAGCAACTCCAGCACAGAATGGGTTGCTTCTGCTTCTAATTTGTATCTTCATTTGTTTGTAGCTTATGTTATATTTAGGGTTATGTTACGTTTATAATTAGTTTAAAGATCTTGACTTGAGTGGAAATAAGAGTTAGGGTGATGCTTAGTGGATAGTTGGATATTGGGGAGGCGATGATCTAGTGGTATGATCACTAGACTAATAATCCAGAAAACTCTGTAATGTTCTGGGGATCTGAGTTTAAATCCTGCCATGGTAGAATTTGAATTCAATAAAGAATCTGGAATAAAGAATCTAATGATGATCATTGGGGATTACAATTAGGATTTCTAGAGGTTAAGATGAATGTAGTAAGGATTAAATGTAAGGTTATTAGGCCACTTGGTTTACTAGTTGATCTTGGGGTTTGTGCTTGTTAAAAATGTTAGTCAGAATTAATGACTGGTAACACTCAATTTCATGAGACATTGTTTCGTCTTGACATTGTTAACAATTATTTTTATAATACATGATCTCTAACTAACCATCAAGGCCAAAGTCCAATCCCAATAACTAATAACCAGACTTTCATCTATGTGGTATATTTAATGTAGCAAAAACAACAAAATGTTTGAATCAGTATTAGGATTGGGGTTAGAATCAAGGTCTGTGCAAATGCAAGACCCCGTTTATCTCAGGACCTTTGCATATGCAAATTCCCTTAGCTCAGTCCTTCCTGCTGACTTGGCCATTTCCTGATGTTTAGCCATGACCCTATGGTTTCTATTTCTATATTTACATGTGGTTCTGTTCATGCATTAAAGCCCAAACCTAAACCTGAAAGATACTTACATATTAAAAGCACCATATCTCAGCCTAAGCTAAAAATGCTGAATGCATCTAAACTTAATAACAAATAACTTCATTGGCCATAAAATACTTTAAAACATCCTGAGTTGGTGAAATACACTGTTTAGTGCAAGTTCTTCAGACAGAATTTACAGTATAGAAGTAGTTCATTCAGTCCAAAGAACATTAAACAGCATATACTAAAGGAAGAATCTTATAAAGTTGCCAGGAAAGTAGTAATCCTGAGCATTGGAAGCATTTTAGAATTCAGCAAAGGAAGACTAAGAAAGTGTTCAAAAAAAGAAAAACAGAATATAAATGTAAACCAGCAAGAAACATAAAAAAGGATTGTAAAAGATTCTACAGGTATACAAAAAGAAAATATCAGGAAAGACAAATGTAGATATATTACAGAAAAAGACATGCGTATTTATAATAGAAAATAAGGAAATGGCAGAAAAGCTGAATAATTACCTTGTATTTAGTGAGGAAGATACAACAAGTCTCCGAGAAAAAAGTGTGAGAACCAAGGGATTAGTAACAACGAGGAACTGAAACAAATTAATGAGACTGAGAGTTGACAAATCACTAGGACCTTATGGATTACATTCCAAAGTGTTGGAAGAGGTGCCTTTGGAGATATTGGATGCATTGGCGATTCTCTTTCACAACTTTATAGATTTGGGAATAGTGCCTGCTGATTTGAATTTTCTGAATATAACCTGACTATTTAAGAAAGGTATGAGGTGTACAGACCAGTTAGCCCGATGTCAGAAGTACGAAAAACAATGGAGTCTATTTTAAAGAATGTGAAAGCTTAGAAAATAAGGATCTGTTTTAGCAAGGTCAACATGCATTTATGAAAGGGAAACAATGTTTGACAAACTTTTTGGAGTTTTTGAGGATGTTGCTTGTAGAGTATCTAAGGGAGAAACTAGTTGATGTGGTGTATTTGGATATTCTGAAGTCTTTCAATAAAGTCCCACACATGAAGTTAATAAAGAAAATTAGAGTGCATGCATAGGGGGTAACATGGTATCAGCAGTGAGTTGGTAAGATGGCTACGGAACTGGCTTGGTCACAGAAACCAGAGTGTAGCGGTGGAAGAGCATTTTTCTGACTGGAGATTTAGGACTAGTGGTGTTCCATAGGGATCAGTGCTGAGAATCCTGCTGTGTGTAATAGATATATATAAATGGTTTGCAGGAGAATGTAGGTGGTCTGATTAGTAAGTTTACAGATGACACAAAGATGGGGGGTGGGGGTGAGGCTGCGATAGTGAGGAGGATTGCCAGAGGATATAGATAGGCTCAAGACTTGGGTGGAGAAATGGCATATTAGATGTAATCTGGACAAATGTTAGGTGATGTATTTTGGAGGGTCCAATGCAGGAGAAATGGCAGAACCTTTAGAAACAATAAACATACAGAGGGATCTAGGCGTACAGGTCCACAGTTCCCTGAAAGTAGCAACACAAGTGGATAAGGTGGCCAAGAAGGCATATGGCAGCTATAGCATACTTTAGTTTGGCCACCTTTGGAATATTGTGTACAGTTCTTGTTTCCTAAAGGGTGCTTTGGTTTCCTCCCACAGTCCAAAGTTCTGTAGGTTGGGTGGATTGGCCATGCTAAATCGCCCATAGTATCCAGGGATGTGTAGGCTAGGTAGATTAGCATGGTAAATGCAGGGTTACAAGGAAAGAGCAGTGGGGGTGGTTCTGGATGGGTTGCTCTTCAGAGGTTCAGTGTGGACTCAATGGGCCAAATGGCCTGCTTCCACACTGTAGTGATTCTATGATTTAAGGTTGACACCTATTCAGAGATTCATCATTGCAACCAATCTGCAAGTGATGCCTTTGGATGCCTAAGGACAAGATTCTTCAATGACTGTGACATTTTTCCTGACACCAAGATCCTTGTGTATGAAGCAGTCATACTTCTTACTTCTGACTCTTCTGTATGGCTCTGAAATCTAGAATACATATATGCATCACCCCAAAGCTCTTGAAAAGTACCATCAGTGCTCTTTGAGACAGATTTTCCACGTCAGCTGGAAGGACAGGCATACTAACATCAGCCTTCTTGAGCAGTCAATAGCACTAGCATCTAGACCATGATCATCCAAAATAAACTCTGATGAGCCAGCCATGTGTTTGAGGTGCCCGAGTTCCAATGCCATTGCAAGTCATCTTCATTTGGCTCAAGGAAGGCACTTGAAAGAGAAGAGGACAAAGGAAGCATTTCATAAGTTCCCTGAAGGCATCTCTCGAGAAATGCAGCGTAGCTGCGAATGTATGGGAGACCTTCTTCCAGAAGAAACTGATGTAGAAGAAGCTCCTGTATGAAGGTGCACAACTCTTTGCAAGCACCTATTAGCAACAAGAAATACATAAAGGGAACAGGAGAAAGGAATGCCAGTAATCTCAAAGCCAAAGACCAATTCCACCGCCCATAAACATCTGTCAAATGTGTGGTCGGACACAGGGCTCTAGATTGGGCTCATCAGCCACACAAGGGCCCATAGAACCCATGACTTCGTTGGTCAATTTCCAGGGTGGACGATCATACTCGTTAACAAGTGATTGTCAACAAAGACGCTTGAGCTATTGACCTCCCTGTATCCAGGTGACTAAATGTTTACTACTTATCAAAATAGGTTAGCTAAGGGGCGCCACAATTAAATCCAATGACCACTATTTGTGCTTTCTGTTAGGATGGGGTTACTGTAAAATCCCATTCCTTACCCTAGCCGGAGGATTTGGAAACTGTGCCCTGGCGGCGTCATGGCATCTGTAATTCCCACAAGCCCTCAGGAGCGGGAAACCGCTCTGTCTGACAAGGGGCAAGGTGACGCACGATGGGCACGCGTGTGTGAATGTGGGGGCAAGTAACATCTGGCAGATGTCTGCGCATGTGCGAGTCCACAATCGCTGATAGGCAGTGTTTGTGACACGAAGTTTGTGCTCTGATTGGTTGACCTGCCGTACCGTGCGTAGTGTCATGCCGAACAATTACCAATAGAAGGTGCAGGAGTACCGGAAGTGCTCTTGACCTCCAGCAAATCACCGCGCAGATATAGTACAATGGTCTGGACAGAGCTTCCGTATTGTCTGGATGCGGAAGTTGAGTATTCTGTTTGCTCAACTCCTCACCATTGTTCGGTAAATTTGCTGTTGTTGGGTCCCTTTCTATCTGAGTGAAGGCTGAACTTCACATGTATTCTCACTAAAATTTCTTCCTCTGTCAAACATCTGTGAGTAAAACAAACTCCCCTACTCCCCTTTATTTTCTGATTTTGGGTCAAAGTTGTCGACTTGCAGAACGCAAAGGGAAGCGAAGGAAAGGAGTCCAGGGCAGGTGCAAACTCTGGAAAAGTTGGACCATTCGCTATCTCGCCCCTCTTAAAGACTTTATCATCCTTTGTTCCAGCAATTTGCCACATTTATTTGTTCAGTTAAAAAGACGGCCTCTTTCTCAAGCTGGGTAATTTCTCTCGGGAATGGCTGACATTTAAGGGGACAGTATACTTGTATATGGCATAGATACATCTAATGCTGTTCAATGGCACATTTTAGATATATTGCTATTTCTCTAATAGCTCATCATTATTTCAATCTTTCTAATATAGTACTGGATATATCTCTAGTCATAGTTATTATCTCAATTGGCAACTTGTTAAAGTATGTCCTGACTCTCTGTAAAACGATACAGTCAGACCTATTCTCCCTTTATATCCTTGCAGACCTGCATACTCATTCCCTTCATGCATCCATCCTATATCCTTTTGAAATCATTGATCATTTCAGCTTCCACCAACCCTGTAGATACCAAATTTAAACTAAGTGCCACTCATTGGCTAAATACACTATCCCCTCATATTTCCTTGTATCTCCAATCAAGTAATATACTGTTGTATTTTACATTAAGCCTGGCAATGTATACAAATACATGACTGTGAATCTGCATGATCGTTTTCAGGTCTCACTACCGTGGACATGAAGTGATGAGTGTGAATCTCTTGATCAGCATGAATTGGTATCTTCAGGAGTATTAGGAGGGTAGAGCAGAGGGAGAGTAAGTGGTATGGAGGATTACTGCTTTTGGGTTCAAGAGAGTGAAGAATATCCCATAGAAGTCAGAATTATCAGTTCTGATTATCCTATACTGAAAATAAGAACATTTGTAAATTCCTTTTACAGATTGTGGACGGAAGCACTTGCAGATGGAAATTTCAAAACAGATATCACACCAAAGTGTGACAGTCACTTAATTCATGCATGTTAAATTTCATTGGCCCTTGAATCCAGAGGAAAAGATCATTCTTTTTGGTTCACATGATTTTAAATATCAATACGACTAAAAAGCACTGAGAGACACACAGACGACCTACCTCCGGGAGCAACTGTGGATGGTGCTTTAACCAGTTAGATGGCCTGAAAAATCATTGCAGCATTCACAGCAGAGAGAGACTGTGCAAGTGTTGTGTGCGTGGACAAGGCTCCGACTGATCTTTTAACTTGGAGAGAACCGAAGCACCCGCATTATGGAGAAACCATGGCATTGTGTGGACTGTGGGAAGAAATTCCGCTTCCCTTCTGAGCTGGAAACTCATCGACGTGTTCACACAGGGGAGAGGCCATTCACCTGCCCAGTGTGTGGGAAGGGATTTACCATGTCATCCACTCTGCAGACACACCAGCAAGTTCATGCTATGAAGAGCCCGTTCACCTGTCCTGAGTGTGGGAAGGGATTCAATGTATCATTCCATCTGCTGACACACCAGCGAGTTCACACTGGGGAGAGGCCATTCACCTGTTCTGTGTGTGGGAAGGGATTCACCCAGTCGTCCAACCTGCTGACGCACCAGCGAGTTCACACTGGTGAGAGGCCATTCACCTGCTCTGTTTGCGGGAAAGGATTCATTTATTCATCACACCTGCTGCTACACCGACGGGTTCACACCGGGGAGAGGCCTTTCATCTGCTCCATGTGTGGGAAAGGATTCACTCGCTCGTCGAACTTGTTGACGCACCAGCGGGTTCATACTGGGGAGAGGCCTCTCAACTGCTCTGAGTGCGGAAAGGGATTCAGTCATTCATCCACTCTCATGGCACACCAGAGAGTCCACACTGGGGAAAGGCCGTTCACATGCTCCGTGTGTGGGAAAGGATTCACTCAGTCATCCAACCTGGTAACACACCAGCGGGTTCATACTGGGGAGAGACCGTTCATTTGCTCTAAATGTGGGAAAGGTTTCAGTGTGTCGTCCCACCTACAGAGACACAAGCAAGTTCACACCGGAGAGAGACCATTTGTCTGTTCCAAGTGTGGGAAGGCATTCACTCAGCTGTACAATCTACAGACACACCAGCGGGTTCACACTGGGGAAAGGCCGTTCACCTGCTCCATGTGTGGGAAAGGATTTACTCAGTTATCAATCTTGATTAGACACCAGCAAGTTCACAAGTGCTTACAGGAGTTGGATCCTGCTGCTGTTAGCCACATACAGGACTGAACAATGGTCATTCTGGCAGCTGCAAAATGTAGTGGGGGTGTTGGATGGAGTTGGACTGTTTCTTTCTGTTGTATTTGCTGGTTTCATGGCTTTGCTTCCAGTGGGTTGATACTCTCTGAGCCTGGAAGTGGGCATTTCCATGTAAGTCATCTGAAAAAGCTACATGAACAGTAAAAAGTCATGAAAATGTGTCATTGGAAGTATTAGTTTACAATATCATTGACTGGAACACATTGTAAACTAAAGGAGATTGACTGCAGTGAGGAAAAATGTTGCATTAGCCAAGAATAGAAGCTGCTGAACTGGAGTCACTAAGTTTATGAAATGTTCAGGAAGCAGTCCCATGAACCAGTCCGTGGGTGTTATAAAGCTATTTGATTTGGACACATCTGTCTGAAAGATCCTCCCTCAAGAGCCATAGCGTATATTCTAACTTCCTCCTCTCTGAAATTACAATGGCCTTACCATTGCAAGCGGAGTGTTCTTAAGGGAGAATTCTAAGCCATCTCTACAGTCTCCAGATAAGAAGAATTCCATATCTGATCCAAGAAGAAATACCACACAAACAGTTTGTGTGCAAATTAGACTTTGGCTGTAAACCAGTGTAAGCATGGAATAAAGAAAGGAATCAATTCAGCCTTCCTAACTCAGTTGTAACTTAGTAAATATTATTTTTTCAACCACTACATGTAACCTTAAAATAAATAACTTCTCCTACAGCATTCACCTTACAGCACAGACCAGTCAGCCCAATTAGTCAATGTCAGTATTGATGTACCACACGAGCCTCCACGTACTTTTGTCATCTCTTCTCCTCATTCCACCTTGCCCCACCCAGCCTCTCAATCAGCATATCCCCTGTTCCTTTATCCCTTATGTCTGTATCTCGCCTTCTTTCAATTGTGTTATGGACAGAGGGTAGAATAATATTGAATTTGTTTATTCTCTCCAGTTTCTACCCATAAAGCAGAGTGATTTAATTTTCAATAGGATGGGATGTGTTTTCTAAAACTTCTTGTTGTGAAGTCAGTTTTTTAAAATGACTCTTATAGAATTCTCTCTGTCTTTCTGTCCATCTCTTTCTCTCTGGTATAAGTCAAGAGTATTATTTACTCTCATATTCAAATGCAAATTAGTGTTTGCAACTGCACATGCGCACAAGAAACAGACAGGAAAGGAAAGAGCTTTACAGCTAGGAAAATTAAACCCAAAAATATGGCTATTAATGTGACAGTCAGAGATCAAAGTTAGAGAACTGTTTCAAAGGAGTTCCAATTTAGGTGGGTTCAGCTGGCTGAAGGTAGGAGTTGCAGAATTCCTTTCAAATTTGATGGTGGTGCAGCAGTATGAGGGTAACATATAGAGACTTGGTCTACTTTATAGGCAATGGCTAGCCAGAGAAACAGACTTTGAGAAGGATGACTCGAGACAGGCTGATATTAACTTGAAGACTGGCTGCACTGTTTCCAACAGGTTCAATTCTGAGCAGACTGCCCGGGATCCAGAGAAATGTCACCTTAAAACTTTCCAATTGCTGGATGGTCATGTGACAGGCCCTTTAGAATTGATTGTTTAAGATAGATTCCTATTTCTGTTCAAAGTTCCATTGTTCACTCTTGCAAACTGATGGTGTTATTAGCTTCTCCACAAGTGCAATGAAGTTACCAGCCCCTGCTGAAGAGACAGACCATCTGTGGTTCTTTTAGTTGACTACAATGTCTACACGATGTGAGTTCTGGGTAGGAAAACTGTTCCCTGTAAAATCCAGCTCTGTATCTGAATGCAATGGCCATGGAATTGAGCTCCATGTCGCCTGCTGGATGGGGATCACAGTTGCATCCAAAATGACATCAACGATCTAACATGTTCCCATATTTGTTATGCACTAACAGGCAGAGGCACGGTGCCTGACAACATTTTAGACACAGTCATGTTCAGTGTAGTGTTGTAGTGATTCTCAGACTGTAACCAGTACAGTATTGCAGTGTAACACCTCAGAATAAGAATTGATTCAGCCCCTAAAGATTGCTCTGTCATTTAGTTACAGGGTGACAGATTCCATGGTGTAAGCGTTGTCAGTAGCACTTTGGGGAAAGCATTATATGGACAGTATATACTGGATGCATGTTGTCCAGGTAGATTTTGATGTTAGTGCATTTTAATGCCTGTGCTGCCATTTCATAACTCAAAGCCACAGCTTCGCTTGACCTCACAAAGGCTGAACATATGATCAGCAACAGAACAGGCAATTCTCCAAGTCGGATCATCCACCATTGTTAGTTGAATTATTTGTTAACTACTTTCCAGTTAGTTGTTTACTTATTTCTTTGGCCTTTGCTGCAATTGTAGAAGCGTTTCATGATTTTCAGATTCTTCCAATGTTCTTAAAATCTCGAGGGAATGCTGTGGATATGTGGTTACATTGAGGATTCTGCATTTGCTCCCAGACAAGGGTACGCTATTGTGCAATTCTTTTACCCAGAGAAAGGTACAGAAGATGGAGGAGAGGGCTCTCAGCAAATAGTCATATCCACACAGCATGTTCAGTAAGCAATTCCTGTACCCCACCTCAGTGAGAAATAGTGTGTCAGATATTTCCACGTCACTTTGGATATCTTCATTAAAACCTAACACCTTCACAGCCACAACTCAGAGCCTTGGAGTAGATGAGAACGACATTATCGGTGGTTACAAAGGTAACCATAGCCACAATTCTTTAATGAAGCAGGGTGTATTTGAACTATTTCACATTTTGTGATACTTCATTATTATCATCTTGATGTTAGAGTCTAGGGATTATATAAAATATCAATATCACTACTTTCTAGGTTGGTATTAATTTAGCTAACTTCAATTTATCCGTCCAGTTTTAAAGCTTATTAATAGTGTCACCACCTTGCGTACCAGCCCATGGATCAATTCAGGCATATAGGTACATTTCAAATTTTCCTGCTGACATTAAATCCAGTTTATTGCCGTTAAGTTTTTGCTTTTCCACATTATAATTAAACGTTTAATTTTTGCTGGATGTGAAGAAGCTGGCTGGTTTCTTGACATTTATGTCTAGACCTGATACTTTGTTTTTAAAAATATATGAAAGGGGTAACAGATTACATGCTATGCCTGTAAATAAATTACTTCCCAAAGCGACGTCATTGGTAATTGCTAAGTCAATGCATGTAATAGGCCCACTACCATTGCTTGATAAAACCCCCAGATCCTTTCTCCTCCAGCACTGTTAATAATGTAGCCATTGAAATGATGAATAATATTAAAATTAATTCTGTTTGTGTTATTACCCATAATCTGGGTTGTAACCTTCTTGTAGAAAATTCCGATTAATATTAATAAATTTAGCAGAAAGGCCAACATGTTTTACACTTTTGTTAATTTATGCTCAACCCAATCGAAGGCCTTGGCAAGGTCAACAAAAGTGACAGCAATTTGTTTTTGTAGCTAATTTAGCCCTCCTCATACAATTATGGAGGATAGTTACATTTCCCTGGCATCCTGCTGTGCTTGCAATAAAACCCTTCTGCCATGGATTGAGTTTAGTGGTAGTAGTCAGTCAGTTTGCTAAAAATTTTACCAAATTATCTTAAAAACACAGGACCAATTGTTATTGGTCCTCAATTATCTATTGACTTTGGAAGTAAAGCAGTATTACATGCCTTGGCAAAGTTAGGTATAATGATAGTCTTTAAACATAAAGTAACATACCAGGCCAGCACTGCAAGATTCAAATTATTGCATGTTTTTAGTTCAACAACATTGATTTTGTCTGGTCCAGTCGCTGAATCATTCCAAAAGGAGTTGATACATTTGCCAGAGATAGTAGGAACTGCAGATGCTGGAGAATCCGAGACAACAAGGTGCAGGGCTGGATGAACACAGCAGGCCAAGCAGCATCATAGGAGCAGAAAGGCTGACGTTTCGGGCCTAGACCCTTCTTCAGAAAAGGGGGAGGGGAAGGGGGTTTTGAAATAAATAGGGAGAGAGTGGGAGGCGGATAGAAGATGGATAGAGGAGAGGATAGGTGGAGTGGAAACAAACAGGTCGAAGAGGCGGGGATGACTCACCTTTACTGGCTCCATCGCCGCCTCTTCGATACATTTGCTAATTTCCTGTTTCATAATATCTACCAAAAGGTTAGTATTGTCTACTACTTTTTTTGCTTTGGCAAACTTAGCAATGTCTGTTTTATTACTTGGTATAGGCCACTTATCTTGAAATTATTTTTACAGATTCTCAATGGACAGGGGGCATTTAGTTTTGTCAGAGTCACCCATAATTCTTCAGGCAAGCATTTGGTACAATGGCATGAAAGCTATCCACTCTATTACATTTCAAGCACTTTGATTAAACTTTAAAATCCATATGTTGTTTCTTAACATGTTCTTTAAAAAGATTCATTCTGGTATAATTCTGGGAAATTTGACAAACAGGCCTTTCATGAGGATACCTAATTAAAACTGATTGACTATCGAAAACCTGAACTTGATCAAATCTGCTTCCTATTGGTCTTTATAACCTGGTTTGCAACAACATCGTCTGCTGATACACTGGAGGATCAGTGTCACTTTAGAGTTGTAAAATTCTGTGCTTCCCACTGATGGATCCCAGACATTCGTAGAGTTCCAATCTCTAAAGAGCTTTGACAAGTTTGTCCCTATAATAAATGGTGTTATATTTGGTGAGGGACTGTGCCCATATAGTAGTCATCAACTAGATTGTTAAAAGCCACTAGTTTCTCATCATGTACGTACTTCACACTTATCACCTGAAACTGACAAATTACGGAGATATTCATGGTTAACTCCCAAACAGGTTTTTGGGCCTTACAGGCCCCACAATTTTCATCTGACACTTATTTGTATCCGCAGACCTCCCAGGTGCGTCGTGATTTACGAGCACATGGCTAGTCTTGCCCAACTGGCAAAATTGGCAATCAATGTAACAAACAGTAAAACGATACCCAGTGGGTGACATTTCCCCATTGTGCCTTGCTGTTTCCACAGGACCACATGGAGGTATGGCCACTAAGACCTACACCATGAAAGAGATATAGTTACTCCAGTTAGTGCAAGAGGCGTACAGACAGAAACTGCATGCCCTTAAAAAACAGCCTGACTAGGTAAAGCTGGAATCTGAATGGCTTAAGCAGCTCACTTTTAACCATTGGAAATGGGGCATGTAAAATTGAGTCACCTACAGCAATATCCATGAGGTCATTCTCCTTAAGTTCAGAAATTGAGTACCATTTCCAATTCAGATGGATTTTGTGGAACAGGGAACAGTAAGGCCCAGACATTAATGTTGGCTGATGATTGAGGTAACAGAGACCTATAAGCTATCATTGTGGTCTGGGAACTTTCACAGATCAGAGACTAACTTTAAATTCACTATTTTGTATTAGATCATAAGCTGCCATTTCTGCCACCTCCAGTGGTATACCACTGCTAGGCACACATTAACCTTCCCTCCCTTGTCAGCATTTGGCATGGACTATTCCCTTTGGGATGCCGAAGTCTATTCCTCTTCCACTCCCAACACCTTCCTAAGCAATCACAAACAGTGTAACACTTGCTCATTTACCTGGTCCCGCCTCACTATCCAAGTCTCCAGACAGACCTTCCACTCAAAATGATGACTTAACTGCCTTTACTCAATCTAGTTTACTGTATTTGCTGCTCACAATGTGGTCTCTTTTACGTTGAACAGATGAAACTCAGAGGGGGTAACTCTTTTGCAGAACATCTATGCTCTGTCCTTATAAATGATCACAAGCATCCAGTTGCCTGCTACTTGAACACACCACCTTGATCTCTGACCAACATTTTTGACACAGGCCTGCTGCAGTGCT